CTGCATCTATTCTCAGAGCACCCTTTACTTAAAGAACATGCAGAATGAGACTGAGGTGCACCCTGCCAGCAGAAAATACTACCGCAAACATGGCTCTTCACTTGTGATGTAAGCTTTTCCTTAATAAGGGTCTGCATGTTACTGTCGGGCAACAAACAGCCCATGTGTTTTAACAGGAGCAGCAGAGTGAAGCTCAGTTTCTCATTTCCAGTCGGGGCTGGCCACCGAGCCGGCTACTTGGGGTATGGTGGTGGGGTGGGGCAGCAGCCTGCACTACCTACCTGCTGTGCGTGATCATGTTCACATGTACTATGCTGCAATAGTTCTGATACCTAAAAATGAAGTATAAATATGAAAACCTAACTACTCCATCTTTCCAGCTCCTCAGTCCAAGAAACCCCAGAGTCATCACTTATCCCTTTCCTAATCTGGTATGTAACACCCAGCCCATCAGCAAGCCTTGCTGTGTACTCACTGCGCCTGGGATCTAGGCACTTCCTGCCACTTTCACCCCCACCGTCCTAGTGACAGCATCGTCTCCTCCTATCCTGAGATCTTGTCTCCAGCTCACGTTCCCCTGTAGTCTGTCCCCAGCAAAGCGCCCAGAACAATCCCACTAAATCACAACAATCCTACCCGGCTCAACTGTTTTCCACTTCACTCGGGGGAGAAGACATCACGTTCTCACAAGGGCACCGGAACTCTATGTGCTCTATCCGCTTCACGCCCTGCAGTCTCCCCTCTTTCAGTGTGTCCAGCCTCAGAATCTTCCTAGCTGTTGCTTAGTGTTCACATGTTTTTCTCAGTCAAGTGGAATTTTATTTTCAAACAGAACAAGACAGAAAACAAACAGTGCTTTGCCTTTCTGACTGCACGCCTGGGCACAGGCCTGAGGCACTCTCGTGGCAAGAGATTTCTGCTCTTCTCTAATGCTGATGGGGCTAAGGTCAAATATGAAGCCCACACTGGCGTGGACTGTGGCTGACCTGCTGGGCCGGAGTTTGTCAGGAGTGGACTTACTTAAGCAAATGAGCACAAGAGACAGAAAAAGAACAGCCTTAAACATATTGGACTAAACCACGGGGATGAACTTGAACAACTTTTCTGCCAGTTAGTCCTACTTTCCAGTTAAAGCATCCCCGATAGAAGTTTGTTGACTGCCTACTGCCCCAGCTAAACATTAGAATGAAACAGTTCATTCTTGAAAAATGACCAGCATGGGACTGGGGACACAGCTCAGTGACAGAGTGCTTGTCCACCCATGCAAGACCTGGCACTGAAGAAAAACAGAAACACCAACATACACCTAGAAAGATCCAAGAGCAGATCAAGTCACTGTAGAAATATTTTATTAATCAAGCATAGGTACATTTCTTGGTCAATGATCTCTAAATGTATGCTTGTTTTTCATTTAAATACAATGTAATCTTGATAGATTCTATCACAAGAATACAGCAGCATGCATGATCTCACTGGTCTTTTGCAGTTTTCTTTTTAAGATGTGATTTTGCCAAAGTTAAAAAGATGAGCAAGTCATTTTCCCTTCTAACTGCAGGACGGTCGTTCTTGTCTATCACTGGCCCGGTGAAGCAAACTGTCCCCGTGCCCCTCACCGCCCACCATGAGTTTCTCCCCCTCTTAACTGGTATGTTTCCATTTCCCAAACTTTAGAAAGCAGAACTGAAGCTGAGCACTCATCCTAGCCATTTTAGGTGGTGGAAAGACAGACACATATTTCTATTCCCATGGAAAACATTCACAGTAAATTTAAAATAATTATATCAAGGAGCTTTACACAATGCGCTGATAGCATCTAAACATCACACTTCTATTAGCATACCACCATGGCCTTTGTATTTGAATGGGAACAAGCCCCCTTCACAAACTACTTAGAAGTTCCAAGCAGAATTTGCCTGGTTTTGTTTTTTCATTCTCTTGAAGTTGGTACTAACTTCAGAATGTACACAAGATCATTCAGAGAAAGCGAGACCACACGGCTGATCTGTCAGCATCAGACCACGCTCCAGTGAGGACGAAGACAGCACGAAGTTGTGGGCGTTCGGTCTGGAACAGCTGCTCTCCGGCACATGTGGGAATCACCTGTTGGGGCTGGATTTTTTTTAAGCACAAGAGTTCCGCGGTAAAAATGTGACTCTAACTTGGTAAGTTTATATGAAGATTGCTTTTGGCCAGCCTGATGTGCCAAGCTTCTGAAGGAGTGGGGGGCAGCAACAGGGATGTTTTGCAAGGCAGGAAACAGGAAATACCAACTAGGAGCAGGCCATGTTCAGTGGTTGGGGAAAACACAATTGATGTTTTAACAAATGTGCCTATTAGAATCAGAATCTGAAGGAAGGTAGCAGATACCACAGTCAAGAACCGCCTGCTAATAAACCCAGTTCATAAAGAAATTTTGTAAACTTACTTTTTGAGCAAACCTCAGTTTGATCAAACGCTGAAGAACCTGAACTTGTTCCTTGAGTACCTTATGCATGCACCTTTGACAGACCAAACCTACTAGGACTCCAGTTTTTCTGCCTCACTATTTAAAGCAACAGCCCAACCACAAAAGCCCACATCCTTAATGGACACAACTGTGTAATTACCACATTGATGCCTGAAAAGTAACTCACTTAGCATTCAGTCAGAACAAAGGAGGAGCACTGGATTTCACTTAGGCCCCTTCAGGATTTGTTCTCACCTGTCAATAGCCTTCTGAACCTAGTTTTCTTCTGTTTACTTTTCAGTGTAACTGTCCTTCCTGCCTGTGGCTGTTTGTCTTAATGCTTTGCACACACTGGAGAAGGAGGTTTTTTCTCCCTTTTAATGTGGAATTTTAGTTACATGTTTAGAAAAACAAAAAGTGCCTGCCAAGCAATGAGATATTTGAAATTCTGTTGCCCAGTGACACAAAATTGGAGATTACAAAATAAACTATGATACATAGCTTAAAATGTTTCATAAATTATGCCTGTGTTTGTTAACTTTAAAAAGTTCTTGTTCTCGAAGAGAAGCTTTCCATAGGGAAGCTTTCCCTGTATAAAAATTAAATTTTTTGCTGAAAGCATAGTAAAATAGCTGCCAAAATAACATCATTAAGTATATATGAGGTGAGAAAGGATGATGGAAGTATGTCTGCTATGGAGGACCTAATGATTACGCTAGATGCTCCATGCTAAGCATTTGGAACAGTACTAGACAGTAATTATGCAATGTATGTTATGATAATTTCCATCTACATCAAAATTTGAGGGAATACATTCAATTTCCTTACTTTTACATTAAAATTTACTCAACAGGTTCTTTTCTAAGTACAATGGTGGGATCTTCAGATATAGCGAAGACAATTCAATGTTTCAGGTCTTTGCCGTTTAACATACTTTGGGTTTTGTCATTTTATATATTGATCTGATGAACCATTTGACATCACTATTTAAAAGAAACTAAATGAGTATTTTAAATATTAACATAACAATGTACAACAAGCTAAATGTCTGTGGCAAGGCTTCCAGAGATAAAATGATATCCCTTCCAGTTTGGCTGTCTGACTGCTGATCTTTGGGTTTGTGGAATTTAATCTGGCACAGGACTGAAATATGTGCCTCTTTTCGGGACTCTGTGTTGTTATTTTGCTACAGATCAGATAAATGCTAATGATGAGAAAACTGAGACTCTTGTGCAGACAAGTACCCAAACATCAAGTCACTTTATAAAATGTCTCCAAAGCTCTTCACCTTGAAAGGAATGGCATTTCTGGAACTTACTGTTATCATTCAAAAAAGCCTATCTCTTAGTACCTTTCAGGATTTGATGTCAGCAATGGCTGAGGCTGTGGGAAACAAATTTAAATTTGTATCAAGGAGCCTGGTAACCCGGCCACAGGCATGTGTCCCTAAACGCAATGCTGCTGGGTACGCTCAGAGTGACCTGCTGGCCCACACCGTTCTGCAAATGCCTTCCTTTGTGAGATCTACCATGTTTCCTACTTTAAGGAACTCAACCGATACATATGATTGTGTGTGTGTGTGTGTGTGTGTGTGTGTGTGTGTGTGTACTGGGAATTGAACTCAGGACCTCGTACTTGCCAGGCAGGCACTATACCACTGAGCTATACCCCCAGTCCCTTTCCATTTAATTTTTAAAATCAATGTAAAGCAAATACAGTAGTGATGCTATTTCTGCTACAATAAGCAATTGAATTACCTTCTTACATGAGCATTTCTTTTAACCAATTAGTAGCAGTTAGTTTTGCAGTGATGTTCCCAAGACCAACGGCCTGAGAGGATGGAGCCGCTGAAGAAGAGCCTCTAATTTGATGCATACAGAATCTGGCAATGAGGCTAAACACTGAACTTAACCAAACAGCTATTTTAAACCACAGTTAAAACTCACGCTGGAAGTGCTCTCTGAAGCCCCAGCACAGCGAGGTGCTGTACTTCTGAAGGGGACCCCTGGGAGTCCCACCTCTGAGAGTCATAGCTGCGCACTGGGACAGGGGTGCATTGGCAAAGCTTGTCACTAGGGAGGCACCTGAGACCCATACAAGGTCTACACAATTCCTTCTCAGAGCAGCTCCCGCCTTGTTCCATTTCCTGCCTTATCATGGAAACAGGATCATAAAAACTTAAGACACTGGTCCTGGTCCGGGCCTCCTACTATTATGACTAAGAACCAACCGTCTTGTGGACAACCTAAAGACAACCAAGTTGTGCATCCGAATTTGTTTTGGAAGACACTATTTCTGGTCCCCATCTGAGTTTGCATCTCTCAAATTCTCCCAGTTGTGGGAGTCTCTATAAATTCACGGACACAGCTGTGCTAAGGACTAAGTCACTCAGGCTTCTGGCTGCTCATGTAGGACGATTCTTATTTCCTTTTCAGTAGTTACTTAAATACTAACAAACACCTACAATGGGGTCTTGACAGAAAACAAGGGTTCAATAAACATTTGTTGACTAAATGAATGGACCAATCAACCAATCAACTGATGAAAAAATTGGTGAGTTTGCAAATGTTTATAAATACTTGTAGATCTGGACTAGAATGACATTTTTCCAAGGTAAATTCCAATAAATAATAATCGTGTGAAGTAGAAGTGGTATCATAATCTGTTATAGTTTCTTAACAAGGCTACACTTGAATGAATACTCAATAAAAATTTACCGATGGAATCAAATTATATTAGTTATACAAGGTTAACATTTACAGCTTTATCTATACAATAGCTTTGTAGAAGTGTATCTCCCCTGAAAAAAGAAAATTTTAAATATGAAGACAGAACCAAAGTGAAAACTTTAGCAAAAAAAAAAAAAAAATGCACATTTCCTGGGCAAAGTATTCAGCTTTCCTTCAGAAAAGTGATAGTCTACAGATCCACCCACTCCTCTTGCACTGACTTTTATCTAGTGTTACCCTTTGGCTTAGACTCTTAGCTAAACATATGCTAGGCTGGAAAGTCTTGTTCTAGCAATAACAACAACAAAAACCAATCTTCTGCCCCACAACAGAAAATGGTAAAGAAGGTTTGTTTTGAGAGCCAAACCCTGAGACAACTGACTGTCTGCGTTTGGTACCTTCCTTCCTCAGTAACTCAGAGCTTCTATTATCTATATGCCATTATTAGTCTCAAAGTTTCTAATATGGGAAGCTGGCGTATCTTCCTGACAGCAAACTCTGCCACTCCTGTACTGTATACTAAGCGGCTGCATGTCTATGCTGAGTAGGAAACTCTAAAGCCTTCCTACTGCTGGAGGTCTCAAGGAGGAACCTCTTCCTAGGACACACACTGACTCAAAGCATTTGGAACCCAGCAATCTCCGCACCTGCTCCAGGGCCCCACATTATTTTGCAGAGCAGGCCCATCTTGTGGACAGACAGCCTACACTGCTCTGCTGGAAGGTGAAATGGCTATGCAATGTGGCAGTTGTGAATGTTCCCAAATGCCTGGAACGTTTAAGTATCCAATTTTCTATGTGTTAAGCAACAAGTATTTTCTGACCAAATTTGGTGGAATATACATGTGCAAGTCTTAGTAACAGAGAAAAAAATAACAGACTTAAATGGAGTAGAATTCTCAAGACTCCTCTGGTAAGGGTTACTGCCAGAGTCACTAGGAGTTTGGGACCAGTTAGCAAAGCCAGCAGGGTGGCAGAACTCACTGTTATAGAAATTCTGCTCATGCCAGCTATCAAGGGAGAAGCGAAGCCTTCTCATTCTGCATTTTGACCCATGAGTGGGCCACCTTGTATTTAACTAGAAAATGAAGTGAAGTGACTGAGCTGATTTTTCTTACTGAAAATAGATTATAAACATACAGATACGTTCCTTATTATCGTTTTCAAAAATTTCAACCATATTAATGTCTCAACCTTAATACATGGAAGAGTTTGCTCATCTCTACAGCTGATCTACTATTTTATTGCAAGTTTCAGGTTAATATGGTGGCACAGTCTGTCCACCCATCCCAGTGACACACATTGCTGGCAAATGTCTCAGTCTTTTAGGGTAGGAAACTATAAAATTATAATGCATTCCTACCTACCAGGAAAATACTCTCAATTAAGAACAGTTCCATAGTAGCATAGATTGCACAATTGCCATGCCAAATAGCCAATCGGAGTGGGGGGGGTAGATTTTAGATGAATGATTTGAGATTGGGCAACAGAGGTCAAAATTAGTCAAACTTCTCTTTGTGGCCCACAATCCTAGAGATTAATAATTACAAGTGTGTTAATGAGGCCCTATCTTGTCCCATTTTGAATGTGGCAGTTGGGTGCTAAAGAATAATGAAATGAAGTTAAAAGAGAAGGGAGATTTTTGGAGAACCAATACATGATGATAGATTAATCTCAACTACCGTCTCCACGCCTTTCACTAGTGAGTTCTGCTTACTCTCTCTCTCCCTCTCTCTCTCTCTCTCTCTCTCTGTCTCGCTCTCTCGCTCTCCCCCTCCCTCCCCCAGAAGACAACGGGAGAACACAAAGACAAGTTTAAGAGGCTATAATTTGCTATCAGTTGACCAAGAAACCTTGTTATTAAACACTAAATAAATTATTCACTTTGATCCCAACTGGCAATAGAGGAAAACCCAGCTTCTGAGAGGTACTGACGCACAGCTGCAGGACTCAAGTTTCCTCCTGACGTGGGAAGGCTCCACAGAATCTGACTCAGTTCTTGAGCACCACTGCTGAACCGCCAGGAAGCTAGCTGAAACCAAACCTGCCTTCCAAGCACTCAATCAAAGAACAGCGAAATGGTGTACACACTTCCTTTGTTTAATCAACCTCAGGAGAGAGACAGACAATTCCTATTGATAAAACTGGCTGGTTCTGGGCAGTCTGGTCAACCACAACCTCTCCGTGGCTCCTCCTCTCAACGTTTCTTTGTCTGGCCTGTTTCTGCACAAATGCATCTGCGATGCTCCGCAGTGAATAAAGAGGACTCCCAGGCTCCACCGTACAGGAAGGAAGACGAAGCCCCTGGTACCGCAACTACTGTGCACTGGGCTCGGCACTCAGATTGTGCACACATTCAACGGTTGCACAGAAACAACAAAAATTACTTCAAGCCTAATACCTTATATTTAGCCTCAAAGTGAAGAACTTTATTTCCTCTTTTTAAGCTAAAATGTTACTGAAAACAAACTTTTCTCAACTAGCTGCTTCGGAACAATATACTGTATTATGAAGCTTCATACATTTTAAATGTTTTGAAATCCTGACAGGACGAAGTCCCCGCCTCTTCCTTTCCATTTCCAAGCTGAAGCTGGTCTCTTCCTCTTCCCGGCTTTCCTGCATCAAGAAGCGGTGCTGGGCGGAAGGAGCCATGTGAAAGTGCATACGAAGAAGGGTCCTGAACAAGCTGCCTTGGGCCGCAGGCGGCACTGCCCAGCAAGGCTCTAGCTGCTGCTTCTGCGGTCCCTGCTGGGTGTCCAGCGTCGGGCAGGGCCAGGCCAGAACCAGAACAGCAGAAAGGACTGTACCACGGGTCTCCTCGAAACATGCTATGAAAAAGGTGCAGCGAGAACCAAGTCCCTGTGCATTCTTAGTCACAATGTGGGTAGAAGAACCCACTCAGTTCCTCCCTTTGGTATTAAATAACAGTTTTAAAAAAGCTTTTTAGAAACAAAGCAAACACACGGTAGGACTGGAAATGTGAACCATCCCAGGGCAGTTGTCCACTGCAATCAGTTCCATCCCTAGTCATAAATAAATAATCTCTTTCCTGGTCTGACTGCCACGCCAGGATCAATATCTCTTAACATCTTACTTATTTTATTACTGCTTTTGGTTTTCTGGGACTGATTGAAAGTTGCTCAGAGGAAATCTTTGGTTTTGCTTAAGTGTCCGTGACATTTAATCATGACTTTCCTTGCAGTTTAATTCCAACCAGTCAATCAGTTAATCCACTTCGATTGATTCTGGGCTCTCGGTTATTGGCTTGCACTCATTGGGCATCCGCTGGTGTCGGCTCAGCTGGGTGGCCTGTGTGAAGCTCCTCTCACACCTCTCGCACCTGGTGGAGGCAAGAGAGAAAATTGAGACCAGGGAGCAGAGCCCGAGGGTGATGGGCTTCCTCTCATCCTGCCTAATCAGAACAGACACTCCAAAGTGGCTTCAGATTTTACCGGCTCAAGAGGTTTAATTGGTGGCTCCTTCCAAGGCTGGATGCCTGGGATGGGACAAAGCCCGTCTGATGCAGAACAGAGGGATCTGTCAATAGGCAGGGGGAAGGTGATTTCTCCAGAGAGCCCTGTCCTGCTGCCGCTCTGATCACTGTCAGTTCAAATAGATAAAGAACAAAAAGAGATTTTTAGGAGTGAGCCATCAAAGAAGCAGCTTGTCTGCAGTTTTCTGCTCTGTAACCCCAAAGAGAAATTGATGACAAATAGAATTTCACCTGCTGCTAATTTAAAACCTAGAATTCTACACCCCTCAGCACAACAGCAAGGAGCGATCACCCTGGAATCTGGAGAGGAGTGGAAGTAACGCGCTCGTACGCAGTGACCACGAGGGTGGATGTAGGCGGCTGCTGTTTTGCAAAGGCTGGGCAGTGTCACAGTCCAACTACACAAGGACCAACACAAGCTCCAGAAGCAGGTTTTGCGTCAGGGTGGGCACTCAGAGAAACTGGCAACAGTGAACGCGTGCTTGAAGAGGTTCATCCCTACAGGAAGGAAGTGCAAACACTGCATGTGTGACCAAGGTCTTAGAGGAGAAAACTGCCTTTATACTTCAAGACTACCGCTTACTTAACTCAAAAGAGAAGGAGAGGCAGGAGAGCATGACGAAAGGAAAGGAGGGAGGAAGGTTGACTGTTATCTAGGGTCCATCCCCGCCTCTCACATGACCCTCACTGGCTAACTTATACCTACTTAGTCTACAAAACACAGCACGTCCAGCCTGGTGGTGGCTCTGGCTTTGTCGTGGTGGTGGTGGCTCCCGGTTGGTTGGCGTGGCTGTGCACACACCACACGTGAACTGCAGCATCAGGCTGGGCACAGACAGGGACTTCTCTGTCTCCACTTTGCTCCAATGGGCTGCCTGGAGCACTCACCAGCACTTGTCAGGGCCCAGCGCTCACCTCAACCAGCCCCTTATACACCTGAAGCTTCCAGAGGAGCTTCAGATAGTTATTTTCTTTAAAATATTACCACCTCCAGTTCTCAGGTCCCTAAGCCACCAGGGCTGTGAAACGGGCACAAGGGAAAGTCACCACTGCCCCACACAGACGAGGAATCTAGGGCACTGCTCTCTGACAAGCAGTCCTCTCTTTCTCCCCCTTAGAAATCACAGAAGGGTCCTGCCATAGACAGGTCCCTGCAGGAACACAGCAGCTGTCGGGCTGGGGTACTGCATGTCTGCAGACGGCAGAACACTGCAGTGTGGATTTTCTGGGCTTCTGTGCCGGCTCAGTGTGTCGGGGAAGAAGGGGAGTTTCTGTAATTGTCTTTCAGGGAATATTTTTAAGCGGCCTGTTCCACTGTTAAAAACTGCACTGTGATCTTGACAAATGTATAATGTCAGCTTTAATGTATCAGGCCTATCAGTTCAATGAAAATAACTCAGAAGTATTGATCACCTAATGATTTCTGGTGTATTCATTAACGTCCACGGGCAGCTCATCCCCTCTCTATAGCTCTTGGAGTGCTGATGACATGTTAGCAAACCGCTGATTGTTTATTAGAAAACTGATTAGTTACTGGGTTGGTGTGTCAAAATATACTACCTTTCACTGCCTGATAAACTTTCAAATTATTATATTCCTTTTTTTAATTTTGAAGCTCTAGAATCAATTTCAAAGAGAGCAGAACAGTTGAAAGGTGTGAGGAACAGTTTACCTGGGTCGTGGGGCACGCAGTACTTCACATAAGACGAGAGATAGTGTGTCTATATAACATTTAAATATTCATGTTGGACAGAGACATTAAGAGCAAAATTACATCCTTCCTCTCATGTTTGCCTAAATGTCTCACAGAAAGTGTATAGTATTCATATGTATGGAGCAGTTTGTTATAATAGGACATTTTTCTGATATGTGAGATGAATTTTAAAAAAACTTCTCAGATTTTTCTGGTAGGAAAATCACTCCTGAAAAATCATCTCTAGTACTATCTTCTCACTAAGTATAAGAAAAATTAATGCAGAGGTATAGACATCTGCCAGAATTTCAACCCTATTCCCAGGATGTTCCCCTTCTTGAAGAAAATGGAATACTAGAAATACTGCCTATATGGTTTGGGAATTATACAAATATTAATTTGTATATCTGAGAGGTAAAGACAGTTATTACTTTTTTAAAATAAGTGAATGGCCTTGGTTTTATGTTCATCACCTTAAGTTTTAGAGCAGTCCCCTCCACAAAACATTTTCACAGCTTCATAGAACTAATTCAGTTTAAGTAACCTGGTTCTGGGAGGTCAACGTTGAACCTTGGTGATTTGGTGTTTTTAATTAACCCTGAATTAGTCTCAGAGAAGTGATAGGGCGTGCGCATCTCTAAGCCTGGACTTCATGCATTCACTGCAGCAGGATAAGGAGGAGAGAAAAATGCAGGGAATGAGGCAAGAGGAAAGAAATGCTTTTGCACACAGGGGTTCTTCAACATCCATGCTGATGTCACAGCCTCAAAGGGAACACTGCAGGAACATGCGAGTAGAAAGTCTTTCTACTGGAGTAAGAGTCTGAATTAGGCTCATTTCCTTTTCTGTTTCAGATATCCTGCTTTCCTCTGTGACAGCTGACTGAATGATACATACAGAGAGCTTAACAAACAACGTAAAGTTCTGTGTAGCTCATGAACCATGTAAAGTAAATGTAAAGTTCTGTGTAACAGACAGAACATCTCCAAGAAGCTTCCTATGCATCTGCAACATGTCACAAAACACTTCCTGAACTGGACCAAAACATGCAGGGCTTCATATCTGTGACATGCTCAATACATACTTACTGATTTGTTGTTTGGATTTGCTTTGATTTTGTGTAGATCTTGCTCAAGTATTAGACATCCTTTAGAATTTCCTTTGATTTCTTTATACTGAGACAAACTGCCTTTACTTGAGGCAAAAACACAGAGGCAAGTATTTCCCCTTCCTCCTAAAAAGGATGGAAAAGCCACCCTAGCGAAAGTGCTGGCCTGCTCACCAGAATCCTGTGCTTGGAAGCCAGGCAGAGAGCAGCCCACAAAGGTCCTCCCAGGGAGAGACGGGCTCTCCACCTGAAACCCTGCGAGAGTGCACTGCGTGATAGACAGAAGGGCTCCTTGTTGAAAGGGCAGTTTTTAAGCTGCCATCTGCCCCCTGCCACGCAGTAAAGTGCTTGCCTGGTCCTTGCTGTTACATGAAACGATGTCTTGCTTTTTGCTGTTTGCTCTCCATGAGTTCCAGTCTCACAGGATGAACTGAAAGCAGTATCTTTGTTCTTATCTCAGATTTTTCAGTTTTCCTACATCTTCCTTCATTGTAGGAATTTTAAGTCCACAGCCTACGTTAGCTGTCAACAGGCCCCTGCTCTTCCTAGAACTTGAGAGATGGAGACCTCCAGTGGGATTTCAGCTCACCAGACTGTGAGGCAAAGCCTGGAATAGGTTCTAACCTCTTCATGCCAAATCTTCTCCAGCCTTCTTTGGATGCCAGTCATCTTGATCTGCCTCCAAAACCCACTTCTCAGCAGAGGACTTTTGAACTTGGAAAGGCTTTCCCTTGACGTGGCAGGCTCAGCCTCAGCGGACCTGGGGACCCCTGGAGGTCTCCTGAGCGATGGAGGCGGGAGCAGCAGTTTGAGGACTGAGCCATTTGGGCCATCTATTTCTGCCCTGGTGTACAGTTTGGGCTTGTGCATCTTTGTGATTCTTCTTCCCTGCAGTATTGTTTAAGCCAGTACCCATTAGCTGAAGTAGTAAATGTAACTGTTGTGATGAAACCCTTTTTATTGACTGGTATGCAACGAAAGTTTTTTTTGACTGTTTGTTTTATAAGCTTATAAAAGGCTATCTTTATAATATTTACAAATGTCCATGGCTTAGATATCCATGAGCTATGGTTGGAAGAGTCCCAAAACTCCCTTGGGACAGTTCAATCCTGAAAGACCTGATTGTATATACTAAAGGATTTAACTTTCCATTTCCTAGAAGATGTTTAAATTTTGCGCTTTCAAAATAAGCATGCACTCAGCTCTCCCCTGGAATACATACTTGACAAATTAAAAAGCGAAATACTGCAACACGTGGCTATCTCCACAGAGCAGGAGCCCAGTGAATGACAACATGCACGAAGAATCCAGCCTTCCTGGTTTCCTGCATTTTGTTTTTCCCAGATGAAATTAGGTTTAGCTACCAATTAAAAAAAAAACTGTAGGAAAAGGGGAACGATGCAACCACTAAAGCGTGTCAAATATTAATCTGATGAATTAAAAGTAAGCCAAGATGGCAACACTATTGGAAACATGACAAAAACAGGATGTTACAGAAAAAACGGAGTGGAGTCAACGAGGTTACACATAAGTAACACCGTAACATTAATAGAAATCTATTTCCCATTTTGACCCTGGAACCTCTTCAATTAATTACTAAAATCTATTTACACAGCAACAAGATAAAAATCAATCTTGTTCCTGGCACTATATCTATCTGGCTGCCCTCTCTAATATAACAGACACGCACCTGTTTTTGAAAGCTCTTACTCAAAGGCACAAGACATGTGCCACTGACACTTCTACCCCAGAGTAGTGGTGAAAACCAGAATCTGTGAACTCTTTGGGCACTGGGCCTGGGGCTGATGGCAGAGTCGCCCAGGCAGGACACACATGATAGAGATAAGGAACTCCTAAGACTGAGGTAAGGGTAAGGGTGAACTCGGGAGGACTGAGAAAGCTGCCCTCTTGGACCATGGCAGCCCCAGGACACAGCTTGGTGGATACATGGCAGGCCCAATTGTAGACCCCATCCTACTCCCTTAGCCAGATTCCCTGATGCAGGGAACAAGTTGTGCCTATGTACACAAACAAAAATTATACTGTTTTTAGTATTAAAACCAATTAAATCATGATGGAGAGTAGTTAAAAATGATAAATAGAGGTAACCAATTCTCAGGGAGGTAAGCAAAGATGATGGATGACCTTTTATGAGCTCCTCCCACTACTAACTGGACCCAGACCGGCAGGACTTGCCACCCCAAGCTGCACCTGTCCTCAGGTGGAGGAGGGCCCCTCCATCTGCAGAGGGAAAACAATGAGTCCAGAGTCTCTGGGAAGACCTCTTGGCTCAGGCTGAGCAAAGGGATCTATTTCCTGTTGCCTGAATCCTTTCATCTCTTGCTTGATCTTGTTCCACCGAAGGTAAACAAAGCTATACATCTACGCCTTTTTAATTATCCTTCTCAAATGGGGGAAGCCAGTACAGTAAATAAATGAAGACATATTTTAGAAGGTCGAAAGGAAAAGAGTTCAGCACACAGAAACTAAAACCTGCTCTGAGACCACCAGCTTGTGATGCACTGGCTTCCCTCCCAAGCCTTTCCCCATGCTGTTTTGAATAAAAATCCCTCCTTGTCGTTGTCTGTCTGGAAGCCCCTTCTTATTCTTTAAAACACACCTTATAAACATCATCTCCCATAGAGCACTGATTACTTCTCTACTACTCTCACACTGTGTACAGATGTCTTATTGCTTCACTTTTCACTTTATGTTACAATATTCATTTATTAATTGGGCTTCTACCACTAAATCTAAGGTCATCACCTGTGTATCTCTTGTGTCTAGCAAGGTGTCCAGCATAAAAGTAAGTGCTCCATAAATATTTTCTGAGTAAATGAACACATACATAATTGAATGAGTGAAAGAACAAATGAACCATTGAATGAACAGGCCATATGGCATGATTCAGATGTCCACTGTTTTGGTGACTGTGCTGTATGTTGAGACACACTTTTTTACTCAGGGGTCCTTACCTTCCTAAAACCCTTTCAGCTCTTTCCACATTTCCTGAACCTCCAAAAATTCAACATGCCCTCTGTTTGGTCTTGCTTTTCTTTTTTCACCAACATGGCAGTTTTGAGAGTGTACACTAAACAGTCACAAACTGGCTGCTATAAGAAGTTCAAACTCTTTAATACACAGAAAAGAAGAGGAAATAGTTCACCAGAATCTTGAAGTGTTCACATACCCCAAAGAAGGTTATTTAGAAGTCCTAAGCTTATAACCAACCTTCTGAAGACCATAGTATCTACTGATAGCAATGAGAGTACTGTGTGGCTCCTAGATAAAACTTAGAAGCACAGACCCTCAGCAACTGGCAAGAACATTAGCAGGATTTACTCATATCTCCTTATTTCACTGACAGTGACTTAGATCTTCTGTCCAATGTAAAACATACACATGGTTTCCTTGAGCACTTGTTTGGAGATTCTGGTAGGGGAGCACAGATACTCCTATACCCTTGACCGAAAGAACAGTCCTCCTCTAGCAGGGTGGTCGTCATCCTTGACTGAGTGCACAGCCTCAGGAGGAATGCACATGGAGTGGGAGGGGGGAAGGCACGTCTACTAGCCAGCCAGATCGGCCAAATGCACCCTGGCTCTCAATGGGTGACACGCCGCAGCCAGACCCTCCTCACACCCAGTATACAGGTTTGAAGAATTCACCTCCCAAATGTTAGCCTCTAAGTCAGGAGAGCTTTTGGCAGCCTCGGTAGGGGCCTTCCAGGAGCCTTTGCCACTTCCTGGCTAAGCTGGGCAGTGCTCTGCCACCAACGCACCTGCCAGTTCTCAGGAGCGGGTACAAGAAGAGGGCTGGTGGCTGCTGCTACTTACTTGAAGGGCTTTTCTCCAGTGTGGGTTCGGATGTGATTGTTGAGGGTGGTGGCCCCGGCAAAGGCACGACCACAGTAGCCGCACTTGAAAGGCCGGTCACTGGAGTGAGTGACCACGTGGTTCCTCAGTTCTGAAGGCTGGGAAAAGGACTGGGAGCAGTGGCCACACTGGTAGGGTCTGAAACAAATAAAGAGACTGCCTGGTCATCACTTTCCACACTGGCCAGAGAAGTCAGAATCACCACCCTGCTAGAGGAGGCCAAAACTTTTGGGACATCCCACACTTTTTAAAACTGAGCGTAGAGCTGGGGCCACCGGGCTCCCACTACTTGTTGCCACAAAAACAAGTCCTAAAACTGCTGAGACACTTTAATTCCCAAAGCAAGGCTCTCTCCCAGTATCAATCATACCATTTCAAGGACCCCTACCTTCTTATCTTTATCTCCCTCTAGGCAAATATTCATGTATTTTCGTAAGCCTTCAAAGCCCAAACTCAATTAAGCAGAATGTTACAAAATAAAATACAGACTTGTCTCCTACGCTTTCGTGGCATTCTCAACTTTTCAAAGTCCTTCAAAATCAATTATCTAGTTTAATCTTTACAGTAATCCTCTGAGACAGGGAAAGCAGGTGTTATTATCTCTGTCAGTTCAGAAAACTGAAGACAAACCGTCCTCCCCAGACATTAGCTGTTGATTCCAAGGTCATCCCGGGGCATCTGGATCTTAATTCTAAGTGTCACGTAAACATGGAGACATGGGAGCAAACTGCACATGTATTTTAAGAAAAACTACACTTTCTTGGGGTCCGTACCTCAACCACTGGTGCTGCACAGATGAACACAAATGTGCACCCGGATATGTCTCTTTGTAGAAGAATCCTTGCTTCTACTTACCACCCCCTCCAAATATTTATCCACTGAGTCTTTTTCTTGAGCCTCAGCTCCCCAGCTTAATCTGGTCTGGAGGAGCGATTTCCTGCAGCACAGAAATGACGGGATGTCGCTGTGCTTGCAGAAGAAGTGGTGCAAAGGCAGATGGGAGGAAGTCGTGACAAATACCTGATAATTAGCAAGATTACCGGAGCACATTCTTCCCTGCTCATGAGAAATAAATCAATTTTTGTTTTCATAAAATAGATTAAATTTCTGTCTTCTCTACAGAAGTTCTTCTGCCTACTTAAGCAGAATCTGGTGAGTGATATAAAACCTGAGGAGTTTTCCCTATTCGAAGATATTTCATATCATTCTTTGACAGGGCTCTAATTTGTTTATCAAATTTTTTGTTCAGAAAATTAAGAATCTGTCATGAAGGATATTAACAGCACTCACTACGCCCTGGTTTGTGGCCCAGACACTTCTGCCTGCACTTAGAAAGCCAAAGGCAAGAGCAGACTTAATTGCTCTACCTTTAACAAATGCATATGTGCCAATGACCAGAAACCAAAAGGAAGGACTAGGAGACAGTGGTGACCGAGCGGGCACAACAATTCAATTAGGTGCAAAATAAAGTGCACCCTCTCATTTGTCAAGTGAGGGGCTTAATTGTGGCTATTTGCCTCACTGAACACAAATACTATTATTTTACCAGGCTTCAGCACACTGAGCACTGATTGTAGAATTTTTTAGCTTGATTAATAGTCCAGGATTGGTCAATAACTCAATACTATACAATTTTAATTACTTACACTTAGAAATCTATCTAACTGCTTTAAAACAAGTTTCAAAGAAATATATAAGAGTCCTTGGTAAGCAGTTTATCAATCCTGACAAATCACACATGCATTTTATTACAATTATAAAATAATGGTTTGAAAGCCATTAAAATTGTATGTAGATGAAAATGCCCTCCTGCCAAATCTGTTTGGGTAGTAAATGTTAACCTTAAAATGATTCATCAAGAAATAATCTCTCAGGGTTAAATTTTTAAAATGCTATTGAAGATTATAAACAAAATAATATATTAATATATGCTATATCCACTAACAATTGATTTTCTAATAGTGAAGGGACCATTAACATTTATTAGCCTCTGGTTATCTATTTTTAATAGCTATCACTATAAACAATAAACCACTAAATAAAACCAATTAATCTTTTCTTTTTTCCTAACTCTGCTGTCAAAAGTTGGGATGATTTGTTTTCCATAGTCGGAAGTCAATCCATCCTTCTTATGTTCATAGTCACTGTGGCAAAGACTTACACACCAAAGAATGGAAATGACATGGAGAAGAAGCTTAGGCAGCATTCTTCCATCAAGGTAACACCAAGAAAAGGCAAACAGGATTCTAAAACATCACCTTCACCCAGCAGCAGCCAAACAGGCATTTCCTAGGGATCCACTGATCAATGTAGCATAGTTTTGAAATCTTGCAGAATTTTGCTTGGGTGACCGAAGAGTCTAGAACAGGGGCTATAGGACAGGGGAGTGTCCTTCACCCTCTGAGCCCGATCAGCTGTGGGGCTTAGACAAGTAACTCAGCTTCCTTGACCTGTGCTTTCTCATTGGTCTGCAAAGGACACTGGACTGAGCCAGATCTCTCTCACATCACTTCTGCCTTGTTCCTGCCTTTGAAAAACTGACAAATGTGTCTGGCTGAGGATCTGTCCAATATATAACCTTATAAGACACAGCATAGCCAACATGATCTCCATCTTGTGTTGTGTATGCTGGCCAGCTCTCTGGACATGGAGCTTTGTGTGTGTGTATGCGTGTGTGTGTGTGTGTGTGAGAGAGAGAGAGAGAGAGAGAGAGAGAGAGAGAGAGAACATATACATGTTCACTAGAATGTAGAAAAGTTTAGCGTACTGGGAAAAGGCTGAGAATTTCAAGCAACAAAATGTAGTACCCAAACCTTATTTTAGTTAATTTCAAAAAGCAAAAAGAAAATCCATATTCCTTCATTCATAGATACCTTGAAAAACAAGATGTCAGATCATCTGAACACATTGTTTTCCAGAGCCTGATTTATGCAGACGTTAGAACCTCAGTCCCTCATCTGCTGCTGTAACAATGTCTCTCTCAGTCTAGAAATTTATAGAAAGTTAGCATCAGAAGGTACAGGAGTTACACAGCTAGTAGATGAGATTCCTTTAAATTTTCTTTTCCTGTATTTTCAGTATTCTCTTGAAAATAAACAGGAAGTAATTTTAAAATGGATCATGTGCCAAGGGTTTAATCTAAGGTCACAAGAATACATTCAAGATAGATCTACCTCTGAAGTAAGCTGTAGAAGACACTGTCACCACTCCAGGACCACAGACATCAGCACTTATTTTCTAATAAGTGGACAGAAGGACGTGTGTGTATTTCTATCAGCACGCCCACCTCCACATCTCTCACTTCAAACGGAGGCCTCTAGGAAGCAGAATTAGTTGCCACCAGTCAGCTTTCTATTCTGATAACTAACACTTCCATTAACTCTTTCAAAGTCTGGCAAAAAGATAATTTATTAAACTTTGAACATAATCTACTTTAACTCCAAAGTCTTGTCTCCCTTTGATGTGTCATACCAGGAGAAGTACATAAAGATTGACATCTATGGGCCCTGGGCTTAGCTTTACTTTCTCTAGGATCTTACATCTTTGTATCCAGTAACCTTCTTTAAAGTACTTTATTCTCTCAACTTATCTTTGCATCTCACTGTTCTCAAAGCAAACACGGGGAGATCACATCTCATAACCACAGGTACTTTGTGACGGTGTTTCCCAGTTACAGAGATATCCTGCATCCTAGTTATCCAGTAGAGCAACCACTAGCCACACAGAACAGTTTCGTACTTGAAACATGGCTAGTGGACTTGAGACACTGAAATACTATTTTACTGAATTTTGACTAAATTTAGTTCCAACACAGCAATATTAAACTTGGTGAAAAACTAGAATGTTTTCTACTCTTGCTGTAAAAAAAAGACTGAAAACAAAGAAAATGTGGATGAACTTAGCATCTATCAATGCTGCCAACAGTTTAAGCAGAAAGAAAGCAGTAAGACAATTTTGTACATCCCTGGCATTCCCTGTCACTGGCAGCTCCTCTGCCAAAGATTACGCCAGTAAAATGTGCAATTCATTTGCTTAGAATCTGTAATTGGTTTGGTGTACACATAGAGAAAGGATGAAACATTTAACAAAATTAAGTGTGCTTTGGTTTCACATTATTAATCCTTCTTTGATTTTTCTTTCATGGCATGAAAGCCTCCAGGACAAAAGTTGTTCATTTAGGGCTACATTCTCTCCGTGCTCCACGTCAGCCAAAGTGCAGATCTCCTACAACTTCAAAGGGGCCCCACAAGTCACTGCTGGTTGTGCAGAGAGAGTAAAGAACCTAGCTCTATGTAAGGAAAAGATTCAGGAAAGTGACCAAAGTGCAGAATCAAAAAGTCTGTAGAACACCGGAAACCAGAAAGAAGTTAACCTTCACATTTAGGCAGGGGAGGGGAGAGAACACTGGAATACAAAACACCGATACATTCCCACATGTGATTATGGTAATGGATCGTCCAGTTACAGACAGTGATTCTTAAGGCACAAATGTGAACAGCTGACCAGTAGGCCCAGGTTCTGCACAAATAACCAAAAAGGAGAAAGCACAAGAAGGATGTTAAATAATGAGACAAACTGTACAGACACTTCATGTGACAACTGAACATATTCACCAGGAAATAACCCACAGTGGCTAACAGCTATGCCGACTCCTTTATGGGACCATTGTGTTTCTGCAGCAGGAAACAGAAAAGGGACTCTTAACTCCTGGTCCAAGCGGAAGTGGGTCAAGCTGCCTTGGCCTGGGCGATAAGCTTTATGTAAAAACTGAAATGTTTACAAATAAACATCCTAGTTGATCTAGAATAAAATCCTAGTTGATCTAGATTCTAACAGCTTCTTCCCTTTGAATTTACCCAGGGAAAAAATATAGTAGCCTAAGAAAAGGAAGGAAAGATTTTTTTATTTTATTTGTTCTATTATTAACACAACAAAATGAAGAAATAACAATTCCATGGCTCCTGGACCCCTGTGGATGTTTTCACCTTCAGTGTTATTTCCTACTTCTCCAGAACAGATTTTTTTTTTTTTTTTTTTTTTTGCACTCAATGGGAATAACTCAGTGGTGGAAAATGGGTGTCCACAGATCTCTTTTCTTGATATCAAGGCATAGGCTTTTGTATGGTACCTCACTTTAACAAACAAGCACACAAACTTGGGAACATAAACACACACAATCTGATGGAGGAAGGTTGAGATGTCTGGGGATTTATGGCCAAATATTCCATCTAGCGAGTGAAAAAAACTTCTGGATTTCAGATTCCGGGGATTGTTTCAAACTTGGACCTGTTTGAAACTCTAACCTGTTTAGCTTCTGACTTTTGTCTTCTGTGTCTCCCTGGTTCTAGCAAGCTTTTCCCATTAAAGTAAGAGTATTTGGTCTTTCAAACAGGGGAGAAACGGTTCCTGACTGCTGAGCTTCCTCACCGTACCATTAGCCCTCTGCAGGTCCTATACGCACCAATTCAACTGACTGCAGACTGAAAATATTCAGAACAAATTCTGTTCTGAACATATGCAGACTTCTTTTCCTGTCATTATGCCTAAACAATAAAGAACAACAATTTTATTTACATAGCATTTACATCAGAGTAGATACTATAAGGGATCTAGAGATGATTTAGAGGATACAGAAAGACTGCATAGGATACATACAAATTCCACACCATTATCTAAGGTACCTGAGCATGCATGGATGTTGATGGCTGCAGGGAGTCCTGCCCACAGACACTGAGGGACAATCAGATATAGATGAATGGGTACAAGCTGCCAAAGACTAAAACCCATCTGCATAATGGAGTGAACCGCCAAAGAATATATGTGTGTTCAGCAGCTGGAAGTTTCCACATTGATAGCAGGTAAGCTTCCAAATTAAGCAACTAGCATAAGCAAATCTGATGTTCCACTGTAGTTCTGCACATTTCTCCCATTTAGCAATTCACTCATGTGATTAAGAATAATGGAGAGTATCTTTTACTTCCAAACGTTCTGGTAAAAAGAGAGCATCCTGGGTTCTGGAACAGAAAAGAGCTATTTCAGTCCTGGATGCTAAAAGAAAATTAACCATCTAGAATGAAATTAGTAGATCGAAGTGGCTGGGCATCTCCCCCTAGTCTCTCTTATCTCCAGTAATCAACTCAGATATGATGGTGTAATTCAAGCATCTCCACACAGTTAGTAAGACAACACTGTACTTTATTACTCTGCCAACACAGAGACTGACTTTTTGAAGTTATAATTCTTAATTTTTTTCTTATGTGTGAATGATAGTGGCCACCTCTCAAGTCTTCACCAACAACATGCAGCAAAGGGAGAAGCGGGAATCCACTCTCTGACCGACTCTGAGCACCCTTGCTAACAACCTGCATTACTGCACCCCAGCCAGACTGCCCTGGCTCTCAGTCAAATAAGCTCATCAGGATCAGACATAGTTTAAACATGCAAGCTAAATTTTTAGATATTTTTCTGATTTTTTTAAAAGATATTTTTTTGATAATTTTCATGAATGTATTACAAATTAGAACATTATTATTTTACAGGACAAACTTCACAGGGACTTACACTATAATACAAATACAATTTTCTAAGGGTAACCATAATACAAACACAATTATCTAAGACAGAACAGTCTGTTTCAGTACTCTGTATTTACTATAAAATAGTTTCATTGTTTTTACAATATTTAGCATGAAATACCATATTCAAAGCTAAGCTTTGAATTCCAATATCCAAAAACTTTCAACTATCATTTTATTTTACTTTGAGTGTTCAGTTACTGTGACTATTAACACATCTTTGCAAATAATAGATCCATTCATCTGAACTCAATTTTAAAAAGCATGTTTATAAGATTTAAATGGATTGTTTATATTTTTGAGAACTGCTAAAATGCTTTCCAAGTTTAAAGCAGCAATATCTTAAGGCTACATGTATACTTTCTGGAAAGGTAAACTTTAAACAAAATACTTTCTGAATGAAGAAGACATTTTCACCTCTGTGTATCACCTATGTATATCACTTTAGTCCATACATAGGTGATACACTTCTACAGCCAAAGTACTAAGACATAGACAGGTCTGTTGATAAATTTCACTAAGACATAGCTGCCTTTAATGGCCCTAATGTAAATGTTTCAACATTATTAGTTACAGCAACGTTTGATGATAAGCAAGCAGTTGCTAGGATGGCATAAATAAAAATAGACATGTAAATGTACATATGTACCCTAAAATTATTTTAGAATATCCATTCCCTTCCACCACAGCTTCATCCTCTTTGCCCTTGTTTGAATTTCTAGGCACACTTTTGTGTCCTGTAGAGCTTGGAGGGAAGAACTGAGCATACATTAATCAGCACAGAGAGTTAAGTGACTTGCTTAATTAAGGCTGATCAGTGGCAAAATTAAGAAAATAATTCAAGAACCCTGTTTTTGACTTTCCAGTGCCAGTTCCAAAAAGTATTTTCTGTTTTTATATTCAAAATACATTTTCAATGCTATTCTCAGATATTTTGGTTTTAATCTAGTTTTCATAGGATAGAGATAAAACATGAGTAATCCTTTCTTACTGAATTAATTTGATTTTTGTCTTTTGCACTCCCAGCTATCAAGACTGTCGAATAAACCAGTTTTGATTCATAAATAATAGTTCCATTATATCTACTGTGCCACTCGTCAGAGTACCTGAAATTTTAATTCACTTGTTCAGCTAAATTTCATCCTCAGTTCATGGCCATAAAATTCTTTATTGACAAACTTTCAAGCCAACTTTGACTCTGAGGTATCTAGTCAACATTTTTCTTCTGTGTGGATATTAGTTTATTGAATAAGTGGCATCTGTTTTCCTCCATATCACTAGCAGAGTAGGTATTTCCTTTTGACAGCTTTGCAGGATTTATGGGCTTGCATGCTCTGAAGAAAAATAGTACTAAGCAAAAAATTCCAATTCATTACCTCTTAGTACTTAATTAAGTTCATACCCACGGCACACTGAAGGTGAACTCTGAAATGACTATAACAGCCGCACAGCAGCCTGCTATATTATCTTGGGAAGACAGAGAGGATTCTAATTATCCCCACCTCATTTTTCCACCTATGATATTCATGAATGTTTCTTCTGTTACACTCGGACAGCAGTGCTTCGACAGCAAGTGCAGCTCCCTGGTTACGGCCACCAACCTGCCTGCGCAGTCCAGGGAGACAACAGAAACAAGCAGAGCCTCGGATTCCTCCAGCCCTTCCAGCACGCAGACACCTCTGCGCACCGGGTTCCCCAAGGTGTAGCGGGCGGCAGTGACCGGAAGCTGGCAGGAAGGGAAGCAGTGTTCTCACTAAGCAAACAGTGTGAGCAGTGAGAGTCGGGGTTACCTGTCGGGGTTCTGCGTGCACACGTGCATCTGGAGGAGGATCCTCTGGGTGAAAGTCTTAAAGCACTGCCCACACTTCCAGAGGTGCCAGTCACTGAACTCCGAGTGGAGCTGGCTGGTGGAAGTTGGGCTTGCGAGGACTCGCTGGTTTTTCACGCTGATTTGGTTAAATCCTGATTCAATGGGCCCAGACTTATCCAAGAGAGGGAAGTTCCTGTTGCATGGAGTCTGTGGGAAAACAACGGAGCGCTGCAGGGTGGCCGGGGAGAGCTTGCTGCTCTTGCTGAAGGGCTGCAGGGCATCTTGCCGGCACATGGCTTCCATGACCGTTGAAGGGACATTTACTAGGAGAACAGCAACAGTTTTAGGAAATCAGATTTACGAGCCCTTAACATAAAAACAACACATACTTTTTTTAAAAAAGTCTTACAAATTAACATTTTAAATTTTTGTGCTTTTTTTCTCAACTCAAAATGTAATAAACAGATCATTTGAGGGGAAACACACTATTCTTACAAACTGGTAACTCAATCAATACCTATTCATTAAGCAACTACCATATGGTCAAGACTGTTCTCACATGGTCTTTGCCTTCAGAGTTCATTTATGACCTGGGACATGGAAGGGTCCACAGCGAGGCTCCACACTACTCCCCACTTGTGGGGAGCCCCAGGGGAGGCCAGTAAGGGAGAAAGGAGGCAGGGGCTGCTCAGAACAGTGTCCTAAGCAGTGCACTGAAGGCAGCCTCAGCCTACGGGGAGAATGTCCAGCCCACCACCAGCACAGGAAAGGCACCCAGGAAAAGCTGGTTGAAGAGAGGGAATGAGAAGGTGAAGGCAGGAGTCGCCTGGGTGCTGGTGGTCAGTTATGGAGAGAGCTTGGCCGGGAGACTCTGTAGAAACAGGGCTGGCGGGGAGGGGCGCTAGGGACAGACTTCAGAGGGCCTCAAAAGTGAAATTCAGGAGCCGAGGATGTAGCTCAGCGGCATAGCACCTGCCTGGCAAGCATGAGGTCCTAAATTCAATTCCTGGTACAAAAAAAAAAAAAAGTTAAACACAAGACAGATAAACAGACTTGGGCCTAAGAAAGAGGCACAGACTGCTTCTGAGCAGAGAAGCACGAGAAAAGAAAGACACACTGTTCAGGGCAGGCTTGAGAGACGCACGGTGAACAGACCGGTGCGCTGTGGATGAGGTGAGAGGATTGAAACAGGCGGCACCTGCAGCCCGGTTGTGGACACAGTGGTGCACACAAGCACACCCAGCACTCTGGGAAGCTAATGCGAAGGGCCACAAGCAAAAGCCCAGCCTGGGCAACTCAGTGGCTTAGTAAGATCCTGTCTGAAAATCAGAGAAACTGAAAAAGGATTGGGGCTGTCACTCAGTAGAAAGGCCCTGCATTCAGTCCCCCGTGGGCAGACACTACTGCCCAGCCTTATGACCACGGACGAGCATGGCTATCTGCATTAAGATGCAGCACCTGGTAAAGTGTTAAATCCTCACACTAAGGATCCAAGTGACATAATGCACAGACAGTATTTAGTACAGAGACTGACTTGCAGTTGACACTCAACAACTAAGGAACTCTCGGAGCTGCGGTTTCCTTGGCTTGCAGTCTCTTTTATGGGGCTCTCAGTGTGATAATGAAAGGGCTCCTCACAGGGCCTGTGGTCAACAGTAGTGACCATTCTTCTTCTTATGCACAGAGAAGAGACTGACATGGGGGAAAAGCTCCAAACCAGGGTGCGATGGGAAGTGGACAGAGAACAGACATAGGGAAGTTTCTGAGGAGAAAGATCTAATATAATAGAAATGTACTGTTTTCTCAAAGTTTTTATTGTATCAGTATTCATCAAGTGTTCACAGTCCACAGGTCCAAAGATGATTAGAACCTAATGACAGGATTAAAAGTCTTATTTTAAAAGATAACTACTATATTGTATAAAAATGTACTTATTGGTCATGCCAGGGAGCTGAAGAAATTAAAAGTCATAATGTGCTCAAGAAAATGAGATCAGATAATGACAATTTCAAAAGGATGACTGTTAAAAAGACTGGTGGCTGTGGATGTAGCTCAGTGGTACAGTACTTGCCCAGCATGTGCCAGGCCATGGCACCAACCCTCAGCACCAAAAGGGGGAAGAAAGGATTTAAGATACTATGCCTAATGTACCTACTCCCCATAATGAACTGAATAATCATGTACTACTAACATGTACTAATAAAAAATACAATAAATTTAAAAAATAAAAAGATTAGCGATAGCAACCCATAAAACCATGCAGGCGACGGCTGCTGGCCACTGGCTCAAGACCACATGGAAGTGCAAGGTCTCATCTTGCCCGCTCAGATGACAGCCAAGACTGCTGCCTGGCATGAAGGCTCTTACACTCTCAATCACAGCAAAGGAACAGGAGAGGGCTATGACTACCAGGGGGCTCTGTGCGGAGGGGACATGTAGACACCATGTGAAGAGGACAAAGTTGGGCTGGCGTGCTGTGTGAGGACTCTTATGCACAGTGTCCTGCAGAATCCCATATCCAACAAATCCAGAAAAAGGAATAGCGCTGTCTACAGGGTCTGAGCACAGCTCACTTGTTCTATCTCAGGACAGCAAAATAAAGCAAGAAACTTGCCCACCCATAAAAAGTTAGAGTACATCAAGCCAGCAGCTTCTACTCCGGCTACCGTGTATTCTAAAGTAGTAAAACAGAATCTCTCAGTAAGGCCTGAGACCTTCAACTTTTAAAGCTCCCTAAGTGCATCTAATATGAAACAAGAAGGGCTGAGAGTCACTCATCTAACCCCGCCCTCTCTCACTGCAAATGACAAAAACTGAGCCCTCAGAAAGTCCAGTGCCTTCCTCAGGGTCAGTTAGGGACATGACTAGGCTGCAGAATTCCGCTTTCTGGCTTCCAGAGAATTTTATTTCTAATGAAGCAGCTATCCATCTTTGCTCCCTAGTTTTGTTTCAAAAACATAAAAGGAAATCACAAGTAGTACACTGCTTTATGTACAAGTATTTGTGTATCATGTATATCAAATCACACATATTATATGTATGAATTATTCTATACCTATGTATTCATACATTATGTATTTTCTGTATATGTCTGTATTTTGTATATAAATATTTATGTATCTATCATATAAAATTCTGAGGCAGAAGTATATAATTGGCATGGAATCTGTGAACACGTCAGAGTTTTAAAAAGTGTTTTATGGCACACAGATTGTTACTCTTTGAAAGGCACTGGAAGATAAGGAGGAATGTGTTGCCCTTGGAAGGTCCATTTCCAACTAGAAAAACCAGCAGCACCAGGGTAGAGCTGTCCTGCCTGGCTCTTCCTCTAGTCACTGGGAAGGAGCAAGCACAGGGAGACTCCAAGCAATGCTAAATTCCTGCAGGCCAGGAACTCTCAGACCAACAGGGAGCAGAGCACAATGGAAGACTGCAGGATAAAGATGCAAACGGGAAAAATGAGCCAGAAATGTTATTGTTGGAAAGAGGAGTATAATGACTTAAAGAAAAATACTCAAATAATATTCTAAGTATAGAGAGGAGATTCTCACTTATGCTTCTGGACACTAACCTAATTGGTTAATGTTTTTTAAATGGTTATGTTCACATAATCTTTATAAGAAAACAAAATAATTTCTAGGTCAATAAATTTTAAGTTTAATGAGCAATGTCAAGTGGTAATAAATTATATTTCTATATCTAAAAGTTTTGTTTAATAATCCAGGGTATATAGAATCTAAGTCAATGTAATGATAATGATAGTGTTTAGATAATAAGGAATGGGAATAGGTGGGATAAAATTATCTCCATTTTATGAGTCTCTTTGCCGGGACACAAAAAAACAAATATACAATGTTTTCCAGTTCTAGAGAGCAACATCTGTGCTCTGAGGAGTTAATGCACCAGGGGTGGGGTGGGGGGTAGGGTCTGAAGCCAACTGGCTATGCATCTTCGTCTAAAGATTTTTGAGTTCTAATTTTTATAACACTACATGGGCCATGCAAAATGTTTGTGGAGATGATGTGTGGCCCACAGGACACCATGTTGAAGAATTGGGCATAAGTATTTATCACAAGTCAGAGGAAGCCAAAAAAAGGGGGCTGAAATAGGGTCTGAGGAGATCAAGTTAATGCAATTAATGCTAAATGCATCACCATGGTTATCGATAAGTGAAAAAGAGAAGCACAGAACTGTATATACAGAATGCTACGGCGTATCATAGTATATAAAAAAAGGAAGTGGGGAGCATGAGAGCCCAAGGAAGAAAGGGAGATATGCTCAGATGCCTCGATGGACAAAAGTTATCTCCAGAAGATCAGCTAGGATTCTGTCAATGCTACTGCGTGTCTCCTAGAAGGAAACCTGTATGTCTGTGGTACATTCTAAACTCTGATCTATGGGACCAACTCCTTGTTAACAAAACAAGGGGATAAACTGAGACAACAGAATAAGCAAATCAATAAAACTTCACTCTGGGTGCTGCTATATGGGACAGGAAAGTGTGGGCACATGCAGCAGTCCAGGCCAGCAGCAGTGTGTGACACTGACCGGAGAAGTGGCAGCACATATGAAGAAAAGTCATGCATTATGATTTAAGAATTAACCTGGCCAGAGAAGTGAAGGACCTCTACAATGAACACTACAGTACTCTGAAAAATGAGATCAAAAAGACATTGGAAAACAGAAAGATATCCCCTATTCCTGGGTAGGCAGAAGCACTATAGTCAGAATGACCATATTTCCAAACTGATATACAGATTTAATGCACTCCCAATCAAAATATCAACAGCACTCCTCACGGAACTACAGAAAAAAATCTTAAAATTCACATGGTACCAGAAAAGACCAAGAGTAATAAAAGCAATCTTGTATAGCAAGAGCAAAGCAGGAGGCATCACAATTCTGGATTTGCAGTTATATTACAAAGCTACAGCGATAAAAATAGAACGATCCTGGCATAAAAACAGACATTCAGATGAATGGGACAGAATAGAGGATGCAGAAACAACCCTAGGCGCATTCAGCTACTTGAACTTTGACAAAAGGGTCAAAAGTATACTCTAGAGAAAAGAGTCTTTTTAATAGATGACACTGGGAACTCTGGCTATCCACATGCAGAAGACTGTATCTAGACCCGTGTCTCTCACCATGTACTAAACCAAAACTAAAATGTAGCAAAGACCTAAATGTTAAGCCAGAAACATTTAATCTACTGGAAGATAAAACAGGTAAAACTCTTGAAGTCACAAATATAGACAAGGACTTTCTGAACAGACCCCTGGTTGCACAGGAAACAGTATCAAGAAATAAGATCCTATCAAAT